TATCATTTCATGCATAAATTTGTATGACTTATTTAGTATTCAATCAAATTTCGAACACCTGCACTAAACGTTATTGATGGATAATAACTAATATTCTTGTCATATCTCTACAAAAAAGGATGACATAAATAGCTATTGAGCTAATAATTTCTATGTTAATATTTCATTGTGGTTCATGTCAATTCTAATTTCACACCATAGCATAATGCAGTTCTTTGTTTAACGAAGTCATTATCCAATTCAATTCGGCTTTGCAAATATTCAATCATGCCACTTTCCTGTTCAACGAACCCTTCTCCGAACTATTCTATTCTAATATGATTTATTTATAAAAATAATATTTTAGTCGAATGAGTTCATAATAATTAAGGTTAAATTTTATATTATCATTATTATAAATTGGACACCTAAAATATATGTCGAAATCAGTAAAATTATGTTGCTTATTTTTAAAAAGTAATAACAGCGTATTAATATTAGATTTGATTATATCCAAGGCTGTATTGTTGAATCATATGTAGCTGGGAATATACGGATTTGCAAGCTATTACAAGATTTGCCTCATTTTTATATCAAATTAGGCGCAGAAATTAATCATCACATGGACGATTACCAATTCTAGTTCAAAGTAAGTCCCTTGCTGGCATAAGTTAAAATAAAAATTGATGGAGCGACTATTTTAAGCAGTATCACAACCCTGAAGAAAAGATGCCATATTATTGTTTCGTATTAAAATTTCACATCAGATTTGATTTATAAAATAAGAACCTAAATTAATTGTAACGATAATTAAGTAGTATTATGTGGCTTTGCATTAGCAGAAAATAATATAGACTGATTGACCTTATAAGAGGAGAAATTTTGTAAGTATTGAAATAAAAATAGCAACTTCTCTGTCCTAATGAAATTAAATGTTTTGAACTTGTCCTTTCTTTCGAAATTCTATGATATTAGCCGTGGGTGAAACCTGGATGTGAAGCACACCTGCAGTAAATAACTTCCGCTAACTATGCAAGGAATAATTGATATTAAAGGATACAATGACTAATAATATAATACGTTCCCATAAACTATATCTAAATGAGTTAAAAATGTAACGTTAACGGTATTGAAGGAGGCAGATTTTATGTTATCGTTGTAATTCAAACGGTTAACTTATCATTCATACAATTAGACCTTATCTGAAAGTTTATATAATTTTTTTAATAGTGAAGGAAGATTATGTTTTCTTTGAAAGTCATCAATAAATTTATAATCATCTTAATATGTCAATAAAAAATCACACTTCGATGGCTTCAGATCGCTCGTTTTAGTCTAGAAATTGATCTAGTTTACATGATTAAACCAATGATCGTCTTTTTCTATGAAGTGCGTTGTTATTGCTACAGTTTCATCAAATATATGAAACATGGTTTGTTTTAGTCAGACAAGCTTGACTTTTCATGGATATAGATCAGTATTTGTATCTTTGTCATGAATCAATGGAATTTAACCAGACAATAGCGTCAATATATGTCTGCAATAAATATGATGAATTAAACAGCGGAATTAGTCACCGGACGAACACAAATAAACAAACTATATTTGCTGTCTTAAATAAATTTATAGAGAATATTGTAAAATATCAAAATTATCCTTCAGTCTTTAACAACCTATGGCATTGCAATACTTGCAGAAATTATGTACTTTCAGATCTTGATTTACAAGATCAACTTGTTATGTATCTGATAAAATCGTATAAACTAATACATGTAAGATTTCACATTTTATCCAATTCAATGTTTTCAAAGGTTTTGAACCGCATCCATGTGATTGTTAATTGAAATAATAAACGAAATTTTGCAAAACTTCGATCATTTTATATTGACATAATGTAGGCAATCAAAATGATATTATACCCGATTGTATGCAGTAAACTTATTCGATCAACACAGACTATATCATACTATAGGTGGTAGCAAAAAATAAATGACAATACTTAGATATCATCCTAGTAATAAAAGAGATAATATCTGTGCTATATCATATTATCAAATTACTGATCTATTCATCACCAGTGTAAATTGTTAAATATAACATCGCATCAAGTAAAAGCAACATTTAACAATTCGCATATGAGAGAATTAAGTGATCGAAATAGATTCTAGTTTCATTTTCGAAGTTAAATCATTGATATATGTCAGTTTGTATAAGTTTCTCGGCTTTAACATTGACTTACTGGCCTTATTGTAGACATTCGTAATACAATGTACCAATGATAAAGAATCTAGCTGCTTTAATAAAAATACATATATATATATGTTATATAACCCATGTTATATATAAAGAAGGAATCAATTAAATTTGATGACTGAAAAATTGCAGTCGGAAAACATCCTTCGCTTCGAATGTACAGTAGCTCCAACACTATCTATTCCAATATATTACCATAGCATAGCTTTGTATTAAAGTATCTAATTAGTTAATAAACAGAGAACGATAATTTTTCGCTAACTCAAACAATTAGCATTGTTATAAATGGTTTAGAACTATACCAGAACGACCAAGGAGTAGAGAAGACAGAAATTATTGAACCAAATTGAAAATTGTCTCAAAATCGGCTACCGTTGAAGATAGAAATTGTTCAGAATATTCGACTTTGAACTTTAGAAATCTAATCTGTCTTATTGATCTTGTTCAATACAGTATTATTTATGTTACGCTTGTTATTGACGAATTAAATTGTCTTATGGCAGTGAACATTGATCGTTCTTATCATTAACATCTGTATTCCAGTACTGGAAAATAAAACTCAACATTTGACATTTCATTGGCAGGTTTGATCTGGCTCTTGCTATTATACAGTACTATTCAATAGAAACAGTAAATGAATACTTCTTTAATTCGATGTAATTATTTTTTTTCACTTTTATACGTTGTTTGTACTCTACATCAAAACGAAATTCTTTGTGGCTTGCTGACACACTGGACCTGAAATTTAATTGCTTCTTATTATTATTCTCATTCTTTTATATGGCTGTTAGTTGTGTACGAGTACGCTTATATTAATGCAAGCATGACGAAGATGTACTGTAGATCATCAGTAAATGTGGTGTCATCGTTCTGACTAAAAATGTACGTGAGCTTTTAGCTTAACTATTACTTACATCCAACTGATTTAAACGCATTTATCGTCTAGTTGCTATTAATGTATTAGAATCAGTCAGTGTCATAAAAGATTACCAATTCGTTTAGGCATCCATTAAAACTCACTGATCTACTAGCAACAGTTTTACCAAGATAGTAATCGTTTCTCAGTTTATCTCAGCTTATACAGCCTATACCACGACAGGCTCTATACTTCGTATTCGCTGTTTAAGTCAAACGTTACTCGATGAAATAAAGTAAATTTTCTTTACCCTTTTCTGAATATCAACAATGGCTATTCAGGTAAAATCGCGAAATTTTTATGTAATGCTGCAGCCAATCATGGTGTAAGTTCAATTTCTACCTTCGTAATGTGATATTATGTTGTACTTTTAAGAAACTATCTTCAATTGAGGCCATACTCCATTTCAATAGCTTACGTATATAATTAGGCTAATTACGCGTAAAATGACAGTAAGTCGCTTATAAAAGATTGTTTGGCATTTAAAATTTACCAGATTTCGAGTTAGTTAAGAAGTAAGGGGCGCTCCTAACAATAGTAATAATTTGTCCTTAAATGACAAAGAGTATTACTTAATCTGCTTTAACCTGAAATTTTTTCCAGTTTTAATATTCAACTTCGTAAGAATCCTAAATTTGTGTCGTGATTGATTAGTATTACTGCGGTATCTAGTATTCGCAATCATGAACCCTATTTTAGGAACTTACCATACCGGTAAACCCTAGACGAAAAATAACTATAAGCCGACCTGATGGCAATTATGAAATTGTAAGAAAAATCTACACTCACCCTTTATCTGAGCGATTTTCATGCACAGAAATAAGTATTGAACGTATGTTACTTTATCAGCACATAATTATTTTAATTCAATTTAGTTAAATCATTTATTATATAATCTACGTGTTCGTTGAACTGATGTCACAGACCATCTATACTGAGTAGGAAGAAATCCAGCTTGCTGCTTAACTGGTAAGCTTTACATCGAGCAGTTGTATCTCACGAACGTAATGCAGCGAGGTATGAGAGTGAAGAATAATTCTCTTTGCTACATACATTGCATTTAGTCCACGCCTCAGTCAAGTGAAAAAACATTAACATCAGTGTTGTTACTGTTATGGGGAATTCCATGGCAGATGCGAAAGTATTCAAGAAATATAAGTAGAGATAGTGAAACTGGGCAAAAATTATTTACAACACCACATTGTAGAAAATATTACAAAGACTTGACTTTCATATTAAATTGGTACTTTTCGTCAGATAAAACAATTGGCAAATCTTGTCAACGTATAAATGATGAATCCGGCCACGTTTCTAGATCATAGTGCTAATGATGCTTAATCCACACGTTTTGCCATCTTTACTCTGGCTTCAGCGGTTGACTAGTAGGTGGTCCTGGAGGAAACGGCATTCTAACGCCACCAGGCATTCCCGGTGGCATCATTCCTTGAGGTAGTGGTGGCATACCTGTTGGCGGTCGCATCATCGGCATACCTCCTAAGCCTGGCATTCCTCCAGGTCCCGCTGGAGGCATGTTGAATGGCTGGTATGGAGTGAACTTTGGATAATTATTGTTATTACCGCCTAAAACAAGATGGTAAATGATAGCATTTTTCATTTCTTAGCTAGATTTTTAATTTAACCTACTATAAGATCAGCGCAGTCGATTGCAAGATCAACCCTGACAGGATAAGTAGATAGATATTCAAGTTATACTGTAGACTTGCATTGATTTTGATAAAAACTTGATAACAGTACGGTATCTTTCCACTTCTAGATGCTCTCGGTAGTAAAAAACTACACTAACGCTACAGTAATCAAATTCATGGCAATAATCTTTGAACGATAAAATGATTTGTTGAAAAGCAGGAGATTGTATACCTTGCGCAACTTGGTCTCTTATATTTTCGTCGTACCACTGTTGATAATACAAGCGAACATTATCTTTATGCTTTCGACCACTATTATGCGTTTTCCTAACCGATGGCTAAATAATCATAAGAAATAAGATGGTATCAGATAGACAGCACGTTTACCAGCCTATTACTGAGGGTATGTCCACATGTTCATTCTATCAGCAGTCATGTGTAGTAGAAATGATTGCTACTTCTTTCACTTACCGAATCGTGAGTCAAGAAGGTGTCGCAATAATCACAAAAGTATCTGAATGAAATTTAAAAATATCCATCATCGATTCGTCACAAGGAATGATTGACTTTTACGAACATATCCTATTGCACTATTATCAGTACCGCTTACCTAGGCATTTCAAATAATTACGATTTATTCTAAGCTAAGCTATAGAGAAAGATGTTGCAATGTCCAATTTGAGCAAAATTCAAGATGGCTACCACACTCTGCCAGTACAGTATCAATCTTTACTTTGTCCGATTCTTACGCCAGTAGATAGTTCACGTGTCACCACAGCGGCTGCGTACAGCAGTTCTCGAAAAATCCGCTAGTGCTGTATGCAGTACAGTACAGTATGAGCACTCATAGTCTCATTGGCCACACTGCTAAGAAGTAGGTCTTCTTCTCAGGAGCAATCCTAGTGACGTCACAGTACTGCGCAGTGCACACGATCATTGTACGCTAATGGACACTTGGACAGTACTGTACACTGTACAATAGCGTACAATGTACAGTACGCATGGACTACAGTACTGTACAGTACAAACTTTAGATTGGTTTTGCAGAATTGTACAGTACTGTACACTGTACAGTTCTTCTCACAAGCTGAAACCCGCAAGCTAGTGTGGCCCACACTAATTGCCGTGCCCAGTGTAGCAATCCTAGTGACGTCACTGCGCAGTGCACCGTGAACACGATCATTGTACTGTACTGTACGCTAATGGATAGTACTGTACACTGTACAGTACTGTACAGTACAATGTACGCAGGGGCTACAGTACAAACTTCCGATCGGTTTTGCAGAACTGTACAGTACAGTGTACAGTACAGTGTACAGTACATTGTACGGTTCTGCTCACAAGCTGAACCCGCAAGCCAGGAGACTACAAGAACACTCTGCCAGTACAGTGCCAATCTTTACTTTGTCAGATTCTAACGCCAGTAGACAGTTCATGATTCACCATAGCATCTGCGTATAGCAGTTCTAATTACAGTACATTACAGCATATGGTACAGTATGAGCACTCATAGTCTCATGGACCACAGTGCTAAGAAGTAGGTCTTCTTAGTAGCAATCCTAGTGTCGTCACTGCGCAGTGCACAGTGAATACGATCATTGTACTGTACAGTACGCTTATGGACAGTACAGTACTGTACTGTACAATAGCGTACAATGTACGCAGGGGCTACAGTACAAACTTCCGATCGGTTTTGCAGAACTGTACTGTACACTGTACGGTTCTGCTCACAAGCTGAAGCCGCAAGCCAGGAGACTACAAGAACACTCTGCCAGTACAGTACAGTATCCATCTTTGCTTTGTTCGATTCTAACGCCAGTAGACAGTTCATGATTCACCATAGCATCTGCGTATAGCAGTTCTAATTACAGTACATTACAGCATATGGTACAGTATGAGCACTCATAGTCTCATGGACCACAGTGCTAAGAAGTAGGTCTTCTTCTTAGTAGCAATCCTAGTGTCGTCACTGCGCAGTGCACAGTGAACACGATCATTGTACGCTAATGAAGAGTACTATACACTGTACAATAGCGTACAATGTACGCAAGGACTATGCTGTAGTACAAACTTCCGATCGGTTTTGCAGAACTGTACTGCTCACAAGCTGAGCCCGCAAGCCAGGAGACTACAACAACTATCAACAGCTACAAGAGAACACATACAGTATACAACAAGTCTCTTTGCGGGAAGTAGCAAGGGCTAGTTCATTAGGATCAGGTCAAGGAATTTTCAAATATAGCTTTGCTCATAAATGACGCAGTTTTAACAGTAAATGTCTTGGAAATAAAGTACAAAGCAGTAGTAAATGTCATCTTTACAATCCCTGCTGAAATAAGTAAATTATTTTAAGTTTACCTAGTCGGTAAGGTATGCGCTCAAGCCATGAGCTTATCAAAATTAGAAGAGACTACATACAAAGAAAGTCTTCATCTCCTTAATAAGTAAATCTATATTTGTCTATTTGTAATAGGTATTGCACAGCAAATCGTAATGAGCTCTCCATTATACAATTGAGGCTGTTACTTAATACAGATTGCTGGCACGCAGAAGAAACTAGACAATATTACTAAAAGTGATATCTGCCCACTCAAAGCAATCTCTTCCGCATACATTGATTAAATTAGGCTTTTATAGATGCAATAGTTGTTTTCAGCATCGATAATTATGGTAAGATTGTACGTATTCATTCAAACTATTGAGGATTCGCAATGGATCCAACTGACTAATATCAAGAATGATTTGCTAATCTATATACATAAAGTAAAAGTCAATTTTATTACAATACCATCACGGCCAAATAAAGAGTGGGACTTCAAAATTTGAGGGGATAATAGATATTTCGGTGTGAAGTAATAGATATACACGTTTGATGCAAAAAAAAATACGGCGTAGCCGGGTTTTCACCGGCTAGTTATCTAGATACGAGTACAGTGATCAAAAGCGGTAAGGCATTTAATTATGTTGTAAAGTCTGAAATATACGCCAATCTCGTCGAGAACGACGACTAACAGTAAAATTGGCATCATTAACAGATTTAGTTAATTATTAAATGCTATAGTAGTGTTTACTTCAGTATCGCTAATTTATTCTTACTAATCAAGATAATTAAAGCAATCAATGAAACAACGTGTAGCAGCCTGGGGTATGTCTACTGGCCATCATGAATGGAATAAACAATCATTCGTTCACTAATTTTATCACAGCAAATACAATAATTCGTACGGATACCTGATTTTTTTATTCAATCTTATTTAAAATGTAATATGCTCAAAGGAGCTTTATTCCTTAACTATTGTAATGAAATGAAATATGTAGAAATCAAGCGACATAAATTCGAACAAAGTTTGGTTCTACTTTCTAGACATTCTAGTCCATTAAACGAAACTTTGGCACAAAATAAAATTGGGCATACAACCGATCAACAATTTACTAAATAAACATGAGAGAGACAAATCAAACAACCTTTCAAATACTTCATTCTAAGTATTATAAGAAATAAAATAGACGGCAGAGCTGAAACTGTCGACAACCAAACAACCTAATAAAAAGAAGAATGTTTTCACTTACTGCAAGCAGTTCGACCCCCCCCCCCTAAAGCCTGTAAAAACCACCCAGTTCTTGAAAAGAATCTTCTTTTACTCTTTACTCTAAATTTTGTGATTTATTGCCCTCTCATTTATAGACTTCGCAGAGCCCTTATTAAAAAATTTTATATGACAACTATGAATACTTTTCTAACATTAATATTGACACTTAATGGTTTAGCATGAAGTTGTACTGTAACTGTACGATTACAGCCTACAGTACATTACAGTACTTTACGGTCATGTTACAAATCTACTTTCTTTATGGACAGGACTTTGTTAATAAATCGAATTCATTTAAAATCCCGGTAGACTATCAAACACCATTTCTTTAGATTAGGCGATTGCTCTTAGGTTATTCCGTAATAATCTATACAATGCCTTGTAAAATAGTGAAGAAAAGATGGCGACATCACAATTTGGCAGGGTAAAACTTAAAGATACTATCACTTTCTAGGTATTTTCTATAGTAAAGTAATAATAGTTTCGTACTAAAAGCTATACGGAACTCTGCTTTTCCGTCCCTCACTACACTATAATTTCCATTGAAAGAAACGGGTGATCGGTCAATATTTTGCTATTATATCAGAATGTTGACATGTAACTCTAAAAGTTTCTGTATTACAATGCTAGGATTAGTAACCAATTTCAATTCTATGTAAAAGTGGACAATTTATACCGTCCTACACGTTTCTTCTGCAAATAAAGATCATTTTTAATCCAAACTATTATTCATACCCTAATCGATCACCAATTATGTTACAATGGACTTAAGAGAGAGTAGCTTTACCGCAATGAGACAAAATAAAAAATTGAAAGGTTTAACTCTAACGAGTAAGCGGACATAAATTTATGTTCCTTACTGCGAAATTACTTTAACGCATCTACATGTAAATTTTTGGAATAAAAATTCAAGTAAATACTAGACAGAATTGGTTCCAATAAGTAAGAAATCAGTAAATTACGGTAGTAATTCCCTTTCTGTTTTGGAATATTAAATTATTGTTGCAGAATGCTAATAAAAGAATAAAATACGATAACCTAGTCATAACGATACACTTTAGTTGATTATGAAGCATTGAAGGCAATCAACTTCATCAAGTAATATTAAAAGTTAATTGTTTTCTTAAAATTTACTTATGGGCTTGTAAAGTAGAATTAGAGTAGCTGTTACTAACCAAGCATTTCTGAATCAAAGTCGTTTTTGCTTCTACTTCTATTTCCATATCCAAGTGCTGCATGTTAGCAGTTATCTGAATACTTGTCGATATATTATGACAGCTATTACAATTATCGATTTCATTCAATTCATAATTTTTGCAATATTTGACACACTTTAATTTGTGGTATACAGCAAAAAGTATTAACTGATTTCCTGCCAGAAATTTGTTTCAACCAGTTAACCTTGGCGTTTACATAACAGATATTATGTCCATGGTTTTTAACTGATAAGTTAATAATTTAATGGGAAATATAAATCTGCAATTATATTGAATTTACATAATAAAAATATGAATGATTCATTTCCGTGAAAAACGCTGAAATAATGTGAAGACAACTTTGCGAAAATGTGGATTAAAATAGGTATAAATAACAACATTTAACGCCGGTGTTGTATAAGTAGTCGCGGTTAAAGTAAATCTAATAATTTCACTCCATCGGCGCAGAATAGTAATTTCTGAAAATTGCGTGATGAGTAAATAAGAGTAGTAAGGCATCTGTGTAAAAAAGAATACGCCAACAATAGTATTGAGCTCGGCAATCAGTCTATTCTTAGCTATATCAGTTTCTTTATCCATTGATGTTATAGAGTTCTTGTGATGATGCAAGGCTAGTCTTCTCAACTCGCTATAAATCAAAGTATTAGCTAAAATTATCAGTAATAAAGGCATTACAAAAGCAAGCAGTACAAGTGCGATAGTATATGAATCGTTGATGAATAACTTATATTTCGGTTGTATAGAGCGTGTACAAAATGGTCTCGTAATAATTTTGCCTTCAATTTTGCTAATATTAAACTCTTGTACATCCAGTATTAGCATATACGGTATTGTTAATAAAAGAGTTATCAACCATATTGTTAACGAAGATAATATAGCTAATTTTGGCTTTAGTGAAGGCTTTAGTGGACAGCATATTGCTCGAAATCGAGCATAACTAATACAAATCAATGATTGTGAATAAACTATGACCGTTATAGGAGCTAATGATATTGACAACTTACACCATATTGAACCGAATGGCCAGTAACCACTATCAAGAAAATAAAGTGTTATACGAAATGGGTAAAAAAATAATGCAGCTACAATAGCTGCTACAGAGTAATTAACTAACATGTAATTAGTAAAATTATGTAATATTTTAGTCCTTTTAACTATAATACAAATTAAGAAATTGCCGATTAGAGAAATCAAGACGATACATGACGCTATTACAGGCCGAACGATAGTCATAAATTCCATAAAGACTCTATCGCTAGTTGTGGCTGTTGCATTTATAGCTAATTGACTATCGCTAACAGTAATGCTGCTATTGCCCAACATAATCGTTATGAAGTAAAAATAAAAAATGAAAGCAAAGTTATATATGCTTGATGATCAGTTCTGAGAGCAGCTTTCTAACCAGACACAAAATATAAAAATAAATCTGATGCTACTTGCCGCTAAAGAGCCTTGATTGAAGACTTAGTGTAATCCTTCCAGATCTGACGATGAAATAATTTCTGACTCTAGCTGGTATATTTTAATAACATACCATACCAGGTTAAAATTATGAGAATCGAAGACAGCTAGTTGTCAACTTGAAACTTTTTGGCTCTTCGGCAAATATCAGTAAGAAAATTGATATAGATCACAACCTAGTTGGCTTGATTGATAAGATAGGTAAAATAAGAAATTTCAAGAATGGCTTATAATTTGCCCAAGTAAAAATTTAGTGAGGTTAAAATACCAAAATCAGCGGAGAAAAAAATATTTTGAACTAATATTCACGAAACTTTCAATTCTCTCAACACTTAATTTATCACCGCTTTATGTTTACTATGTTGAATAAATGATATGATAATGACTTTAATGATATATTTCAATGGAAGTAAGTTAGGTGTATTTGTTTTACTGTTAAATTTAAAACGGTACAATAAAAGATGAACTTATATAATGAACGTCTATACTAGAGTCTACCAAGAGAATAGTGTAACGACAATAACATAATACGAAACAGCTGATACTTGATCAATAACTAAATTTATCCAACAAAACATGTGCTTGTTTAATTACGGTAAATTAAAGGTATTATTCTATTTATATTAAGTTTTTGATACTAACCTTAATATTATGACATAACAATTTACTAACAAATAAAAGCAAATGTACTAGACAGACCTCCTCTACTGGGTTATTCTAAGGCCTTACCAGCAGTAAGTAAAAATTTATCCATTACAGTTTAATTAATTCATGTCTCTATTATTAATAAGGTTAACTTCAAATAATCAATCTTACCATCAGGTTTTATTAGCTATTTATTACTTAGAAATGACGTATGTTAGATAGGAAATTACTAAACAATGACTGTGAAGATTTGCATAACATAATATAATTTTGAATATTGCAGATTTTAAATCACCTACTTTAAAGCAAATGATACTAAATTATTCAATCATGCAGCATTTTAAATGCCTTTTCAGTGCCTCAACTTGTTTATCTATCACCCTAAACATGATAAATCAACTAAATTGCTTCATTATATTTGTCATATAAAATAATAAACGCTAGTGATAGTTAAGGCTTGTCTTTCACTATTTATATAACATCCTATTTATTAGTAGCTATATGTATGGCAGGTAATAAGTAATATCTGGTAATAATCGTACACTGTACGGTATACGATTATAGTATATGAATAGGAATTCATAATTATTATATTGATTACTTTGCATGCAAAGCAAATTGACATAATTCGCAACCCATGAAGTGAAACTAGATGAGTCCCGCAAGTGATACTTCCTGCCAAGATACTGTTATAGCCGTGTACTATACCATATAAGTAAAATCACATTATCTATAAGACGAAATTATCTCACAAACAAATCAGATTCTAGAAAGTAATAGATAAAGGCTAATATTCATATTAGGTACGAGAATAACAATGTTAATAACCATTACGTGCATCATTAAAGTCATAGATAACGTTAACTTAACGTCTTAATTTGATAATTTTCATTATATTATCGAAAGTACTAAAATCACTATTATAGTCTTGGGCCTATTTTTAACTATTTTTCCGTGTTATTATGTCTAATAAACTCTTTATTCTATTGGATAATAACAGTATCTTCATTTTCCTACGAAACCTTTTACGTTACGTTGCTCTATATTCTACGTAAGAAAATATGTATGCTATAATTCTATTTCTAGAATACTTTGCGCCTACTACTGATTGCAACTTCACTTCTGCCGAAATTTCGCCCTACGAGGTATTTTGAAAAAGGCTTGACCTATCATTTTATGTACATTTCCATCCTAATCAAATACCCTGGAACTTATTTTCTTTTCGAATTTAAGTAGAAAGGAGCCCTAATCAATCTTAATATCATAGAGTTGGTTGCATTGTGATTATTATTGCCGTTTCTGAAACAGGGACCCTCATCAGTATATGAAGTAAACGAATTATTTATCAATGCTTTCAATATAAAAATAGTATGCAGAAATTAATATCAAAAGTAATACGGCATGACACATTAAGATAATTACTTTGAGTTTTCATTATATATCATGAAAACATAGTATGATGCTGTAATTTTAACAGACAATTAAATATCCTACTTTCATACCTTTAGATATAAATTTCACAAATGAATGAAGCAAATTTCAAATCGTTAATAAAGAATCACCGATCTCATATTCACCATTTAGAATAAAAAGAATAACCACAAATGGAATTAAAATATAAGTGCAATATCAGCCATAATGTCGATGTACTTGTCTTTTTATAATCAATCTATTCCTGATAGTATTTACGAAATTAATAGAAATGCCTGCACCGATAACTCAAAGGTAGCGAAACCATTACCAAATTTAACTTTAACATTACATCCGAATTACTAAGCAATATTGTTGCTTGTTACATGATCCAGTATACAATCATTCCGCTTTAGCAGTGAGATTTAGCAATATCGGTATACAAGCATACCTTCATCACGATTAAATTAGTAACTAGTTAGATTGTAGCCATTATTGTTTCATAAATAGGCTGATCATCGGGGAAATAAGTTTCTTGTACCACATTTTGTATATAGAGTATTCAAAGAGAGAAATAGATTAACCTTAAATACAATACGCGTATATCTTTCAAAGAGATAGAGTTCTAATTAACACTAATTACATTGTAACTTATCTTTATTAGCAGATATGTCAGAATAAGTTTGTTTACCTAATACTAAAGTCAATAACAGAAGTTACTTTCTCAATATAAAGCAATTAAATCTTAAATAGGAACTTTATGATCGTTGCCTCAACTTTAAAAAATTGAACCTTTTCTATCACCACAAGGCAATATTTCAAATATAAATCGCCGTTCCGTCTGTTTACTCTCGGTTTTAGATTATGACAACAGAATAGAAACTCTTTAATTCTAAATTATTGATTAAATGAACGATGAAATGCTAATATGCAGCCGTGCAAAGCTAAACACTTATTTTTCTTAGGTAATTGTAGGGACAATAGCAGGTACAATTTTCCAGCTAATCGTCGGCAAGAAAACTGAACAATCGATCAAAATACTCTCATTTACAATTTGCATTAAAAAATATCGAAACAATTCATTTCCTACATTTTATTAATTAATTAAAGGCTTCTTGAATCAATTAATATAATTTATTCAAGCCTTACAGTTGTAATACATCATATTGTCTAGCCACTTATCTAGGCTATAATTGATCTCTAGTAAATTCTACGCAAAGTCACATAGTAATAAATTATAGTAGAAGATAATGAATGAAAAAAATTGCATATAATGAAAATTTTTGATTCCATGAATGATATTTAGACCAACATAATTTAATTGCTAATTGCATATAATTCCTGGAAACCGTGATGCCGATCTGTAATAAATGAGTTTCACAATAACTATCTTAGTCAAGTGGTATTTTCTAAAAGGTTTTTATTGTAAGTATTAGAAATAGTAGAGCAATAATTAATTACTACAAGAATTTAGGCTAAAATCTTAAGTATTCCGAGCTCAAAGCGAAATGAAGTCTCTTCCATTCTGTGAGCTCGTCTCCGCACTCCTTATGAACATTTCGTTAAATCCATTCATGACAACTTGATTAATCTACAATCAGACATGAGTCATCAAACAAAATACATTTCTGTAATAGTACATCATTATTTTCTACAATCTAAATCATTCTACTTAAGATGTCACTACTCTTCTATTAACGTCTAGGCCCTTTCTCCGAAGGGCATCATAACAACTACAGTGTTTCTAGCCACGTAAATCTTGTACCATAATTAGTCAACTGACTACGATTGGTCATCAATAATTTCTAATATAATAGTTAGCAATCATCTAATGTTAGCTTCACGATAATATCTATTTAAAGCAACCTAACTTTATCAAATGTGACTATCCGTATAATCAAATATGGGTGCATCACTGCGCAATCTAATTACGAAAAATAAAGCATTTTAAGCTAGAATTCAGTATAATACGGGTGTTACTTTAGGTGCTGAGAAAAAAGTTTGGTGGGTAAATAATTTAACCTAATCACATCAATACTACTAACTCTGCAACATTATAGAATGTAGCGTGTCCAGAGAATCTCTCATACTACAATGACCAAAGCAAACTCAAATAGTTAAGTAATATTCTCTAAAATTGCAGTTATGATTTTAAAATATTTTCTTTCATTATATGAATTCAGATACCAAATTCTAGTAGGATAAAGAAATCAATAAATATACATAAAACTTCAAACAGCGCACTCGTACCATTAGTTGCAATATCAAACGCAATGTATATGACTGCAGGCTTTAATGATATATCTAAAAGTAAATTCAAATTGATCTGGTAAAACCTATGAATATTAGCAAATTAATGGTGCTATACTTTTGATAATGTTACATTAAAACGATTTTGAATTGTAGGTTGTTGTCAACTACAAAATGATATGCATCTTTTCTAGTAATTGAGCGAGCATATACGATAAATATCTTTCTTTATCATAGGAAATTATTTCATCTATCTTAAGTTAAGTTATCTGAATTTTAATTGATGTAAAATGTTGCAACTTATGTCTCGAAATGGCGATACTAAATTCTTAAAAGCCCACTCGTTGAAAATAAGAACGACGCTATCTTTCTTCAATTAATTATTCCGAAATTTTATTTGATGTAAAATGTTGTAATTTATATCTTGAAATGGCGTCCCTTAAATCTGAAGAGGTTTTTTACTAAAATGAGAGCGA